TGGCCACCATATTGGCTATCCCGCCCACGGTGGGAGGAGACCGGACCTCCTCGCCTCCACCTCTTCGGGGCCGCACGAGCCTGTCCGCTGCCTCCCCGTTGGCTCGAAGGTGGCAGGGGCGGGCCCTACCTGGCCCGCGCTCGGAGGTCCTGGGCCTGGGGCTCCTGCCGGCTGCTGCGGTGGCAGCAACGATCCTCGGAGGGTACGGGGCCGAGGCACAGAAGCGGGAGGTGCGGGCCCTGAGAGGCTGCTGTGACCACAGAGCATCCACGAGGCCAAGGATGAGACAGGCAGGCCCTTTGCTTTGTTTTGTGTGGTGGGCCACCCAGGTGGTGGTGACTTCGGGACCTTGCTCAGCCTTGGGACCAGGGCTGTGGCCGTCTTCCGGAGGAAGGTGGACTCTGCAGAGGGGGACCGCCGGAGGCAGCTCGGTGCCCTGCCAGGGGTGCCTCCGTCCCTCTGTCTCCCGCGCAAGGATCCTCTCCAGAGGGGCTCCCCCACCCCTGCTCCAGGCTGCAAGGGTGGCTCCATCTCGTGGGCATGGGAGGCCGTGTTCCCAAGTCCCCCACAGCTGGGTCTGCATCCAGCTAAGCCCCAAATTCTCCTCACCCACCGCAGTGGTGACAATGCCGGCAGAGAAGCCTGGGGGGGGTGGGGGGCTTCCCCTCCCCTGCGTTTCCCCAGCAGCGCCCCCCGATTCCTCCCTGAGCTCCCGTTTGCTGGATCTCCCTAATTTGAGGGTGCATTTGACTGCGTTTCCCAAACACGCGTGTATCTGAAGCCAAGTGGCCAAGTCCTGGGTCTGTCGCTGGTAGGAGGACACGGGCCACACTGAAGGCTCCCTCCTGGCGACACGAGAGTGCCCGTGGCCGGCCTGGGGCCACACGGTGGTCCGTGGAAGAGCTGGGCTCAGGAGGCCGCCCTGAGCCAGAGCAGAAGCTGCCTGCCTTCCTCGGTGGCACGGAAGGGTGGTCCTCCCTCCCCAACGTGCCTGGGGCCCCGAGCCCCGGTCTCACCCCTCCCCTCTTGGTGGCACCAGGCTGCGTGATCCCTGGGCTGGGTTTGGGACCCACACGGACTGAACGGGACCATCTGGACAAAGCAGAGGGAAGCTCAGGGTGCTGGCAGGGACGGGGGTCCATCCCTCTGTGGTGGCAGGTGCCCGAAGGGTCTGTCTTGTCAGGGTGCTTTGACCCCTGGAAGTTCCCAGTGGGTGGAGCACACCCCAGGCCCTTACCCCAGGCTGTGCTCCTCAGGGGGACCATGACCCTGCATCCTCAGGAGCCTCCTCCCAGCGGACTGTGGGCCTTCCTTCTTCTACCCCAGCCACTGAGGTCCCCAGGTGCCCTCCACCCCCCCTCTGCCTGCCTGCCCGCCCTCAGCCCTACAGCCCTTGGAGCCCATGGCCAGGCTTCTGTGGGGAGTCACTAGGCTGGGGCTCTGAAGGGACAGTTCGGGTCTGGGGCGGGGGAAGGGCAGCAGGCTTCCCGCCCCCAGGGGTTTCTCTCTTCTAAAACTGGGTGCCCACCTGGCTGGCAGGGAAGCAAGGGCGACCTCGCCACCTGCTGTTGCAGACGGGCCTCCAGGTGACCCAAAATGATGTGCAGGGAGCCTCTTCCACCGCCCCCCCCCACAGCCCCCCCTCAATAGAGAAGACCCAGGTATCAGGTCATCCAAATAAAGGTTGTGAATGGGACAAATTGCCACCTCTCTGGCCAGGCCCGTGCCGCCGCCTTCTTCTCCAGGGGCCCTGGCCCCGCAGGCCTCCACCCCTGCAGCCCCCCGCGGCCCTCCCAGGTGACTTCACCGCCGGCCCCCTCCTCTGAGGCGCCACACCAGAAGAGGAGGCCTCCAGTTTTCTTTTCCTTTATTGAACTCAGGGAGGGTTTGTTTTTTTAACTTAGAGTGACAAGATTTGACAACACCAGGAACGAGACCATTTCTCTGAGCAGCCGGTGCTGACCAGTACAGTTAATCACACACGGGAAAGTGACAGTCATCTCCAGCCCGTGTCTCGGATTCTGTAGAAGCTCTGCTGCCTGGAAAACAGACTGCAAATTAAATAAAGTGCATCGAGAGCCTGTCAGGCAGCCAGGGCCCAGTGCGGGCAGAGGGAAGGTGGGGGGTGGGGAGAAGCTCGCTAACTACTCAAGGCCAAACCGGTCAGAAAAGCAGTGGCAGGACCACAGGCCGAAGAAGGGCAGCCCCTGCCCAGTCCCTCGGGGGCTGTGCGGAGACTTCCGGGCCCCCGGGGCAGGGCAGGCACTGGCTGGGGCGCCCCGCAGGGCAGGGGTCTCGGGCCAGGGCCCCGAGGCTCCCCCCACCCCTCTCCCTGTGGGCAAGAGGTGTCACAGGCCCCAGGCAGCTCCAGCTGAGCCACAAGGCCGCAGCTGGGGAGCAGGTCACCCCGAGGGTGAGACGGGGCCTTGCAAGGGGCACATCTGTGGATCAGCCCCAAGGAGGCCCCGCGTGGCTCTCACACGCTGTCCCCGGACATCTGTGGATGGAGTCGGCAGGCTGGCAGGCTCCCAGAAGTGGTCCTGGGTGGAAAGGGTTGGGGTACAGGAGGCGCCACCGGGACCGGGGATCCCAGGACACTTGGCACAAGGCAGGAAGCCATCACACCCTGTCTGTGGGAAGCTGCAGGGGACACATGCGGCCTCATCTGGCCTCGGTCCCCGGGGTGAGGCGGGCAGAACTCTTCACTCAGGACTCGGCCTCCAGCGTGGTGGCTGAGGAGGGCAGGAGGTATGACACTGGGCCACCGTGTCCCTGAGGCTGGCCAGCCTGCTTGGGTTTTCAGTCCCAGGAATTCAGAGCCTGGGAGCCGAGAGCAACCAGTGACAGAGCGGCTGTGGGACCGGGGTCCTTCCTGGCCCCCCTCGGGAACCACGCCTGGCCATCCTGGTGCGCCAGGGAGCCGCACACCTGGGCCTCCAGGGCCGATTCAAGCCCATGCAGAGGAGGTTCTCCTGTGGGATCCTGGGCTCGGGGCCGGGGCGGGGGGCAAGCCCGGGGACCGACAGATGGGGTCGTGCATGGGTCCCAGCCCCGTCCCAGGTTTATCCCTTCACCCTCCTGGTTCCGTCTTGTCCCCAGCAGCCACGCCACCACCCCACCCCCACCCCGCCACCCAAACTGAGAGGCTCGTGCCACTCAGCTGCCGAGGAGCCCTTGGTCCAGCCTGGGGTGGGGCGGCAGGGGAGGCCAGGCTCTGTGGGGAAAGACCTCCACTCCGCAAGGCGTTCTAGGACTCTCTCCTGTGTCCATCTCAGCGCTGACGGTCTTCCCTGTGACCTCCCACACCACTCCAAGAAAAGCCAGTTCCCCACGTTCCCTACCCTGCACCTCTCTCTCTCTCTCCTCCTAGATCCCCCAGGGGGGGCCTTGAGCTCCCCTTCCCCACCCCACCTGTGCCAGGTTTTCTCAGATTCAGCCCCACCCCTTCTTATCTGTAGGACAAGGACACATCTCTCCCTGTCCTGGAGCCAGCTTTTCCAAACACCAGGTGGGGAGAACAGAAGGCCCTCAAAGTGTTGCTAGGAGATGCAGAGCTGAGGTGACAGGGTGGCGTCCTTCCCCATGCCAGAAGGGGACCACTGGCTACCCCAGCCCTCGAGGCCTCTGCCTGGAAGGTCCCTTCTCTCCTCCTGGGCCAGGCCCTTTGCCCAGCTGCTCCCCAGGCAGCTCCCGGGCCAGGGGCGGCCCCTGGGCACGGATTTGAGTCTCTTGACAAGGCCACGGAAGGGGTGGGTCACCACCTACAAACTCCGGTTCCTGAAAGACAGAAAGAGATGGGGACTTCACAGTGGCCTCCCCACGGAGAGTGGGGCCCCTTTGCCCAAGGGCTGCCTCCTCCCAAGCCGCTTCTCCACCCGCTCTCCCCACCCCAGCCTGAGAGCTGCCCTGGGCTCCAGGAGATCCCCATTTCCCCGGCTCCTCTGGGTGCACAGGGGCTGCCGCAGGCGACATTCAGTGGCACAGGCAGGGCAGACGTGGGGTCCGGAGGGAGGGTGGCTGCGATGGCGCAACAGCGAGACTGTGGGGGCAGGGACAGGGCCGAGCGGCCTTCCCCCTCCCCGGGGTCTCCAAACGTCCAAGCGCCCAGCGCCAGAGGGCGCCCCCAGAGCCGGAGGGGGGCAGTGGGCACAGCCGGAGCAGGTCCAGAGCAGTCCCCCGGCCCCCGACACAGGGCGGGAGGCAGTTCTGCCACCGGCCGGGAGGGAGCTGCCCAGAGCCCAGGGGCCTGAGGGCTTAGGAGGGGCCCGAGGGCTTAGGAGGGGCCCGACCAGGGCTTTGGCCAAGAACACAACCACCCTCCCTGTCTGGCCCCCCAAAGGGGTGAAGGGTGGCAGCATCTTTTCCTTCTAGAGCCTTCCCCGGCGCCTCCGCCAGCCCATTCCCCTCCACTCCCTGGGGTTCAGGTGGCAGCACCAGGGCCTCTGGGGAAAGCGGGGCGGGGACCGGCTGACCCTCCGAGATGCCCGGGCCGCCGCCGCCCCTCACCCCCGCCTGGGAATGAGGACCGGGGAGTCTGGGGCGCCTGCGGCCCCCCCCCTGGGCAGCTCAGGGGCTGGCTTCCAGGGGTCCCGTCCACAGTTCCCCCTGTCACCGAGATGTCCTGGCAAGCGCCGCCGCCAGCCCGCACGCAGGTCCAGCCTCCGGCCTCTTACCTTGCGGACCCGGGCCAGTCAAGTCCCTGCTGCGGAATTTTTCCTTGCGGCTTCCCGGGCTCTGGCCGACGTGAGGCAACAGGTCGGCCGCACTTGAATCGGGTTTTTTTCTTTTTTCTTTCTTCTCGAGCCCCACGGAAAGGGCCCGTTGGCAGAGTTTCCGTGCAATAGGTCACCGGGCGCGCCGCGGGCGGGCGGCTCGCGGCCGGGGCCGGGCCGGGTGACTCGGCGGCCGGGTGGCCGGCGTCCTCCCGCGCAGGTCTAGGGCCCGGGGGCCCGGGCCACCCCGCCTCCTGCCCCCGCCGCGTCCCGCCGGCCGTCCTCCATGCCGGCGCCCCTGCCCGTCGCGGCCCGGCGCGCGGGACCCTCCGGCCGGGGCTGCGGCGGCGCCCGCTCACTCGATCCGCACCTGCAGGCGGACGTTGAGCATCACCGAGGCCACCACGTAGAAGTAGGGGAAGTTCATGCGCAGCCGCCAGGCCAGGTCGAAGAAGGTGATCAGCGTGCGCGTGAGCCCCTTGCAGAAGGCGCCGTACGAGCCGCGGGCCGCCGCCGAGCGCGACAGCCGCACCACCAGGCCCGACAGGGCCGCCGCCGCCGCCGCCGCCGACAGAGCCGCCGACGCCGCCATGGGCGCGGGCCGGCGCAGGCCCCGCCGACCCAAGGGAGCGCGAGCGGCCGGGCAGGTGGACGCGAGGCCTGAGGCGACCCGCCGGCCGCCGGTGCCCTCCCGCCCCGCCCCGCCCTCGGTCACCCCTTCCCTGGCCGGGCCGGGGATGCAGCCTCCGCGGCCGCCGCCCCCGCCCCTCCGGAGCAGCCTATGGAGAGCTCCGCCCCTCGCCGGCTGCCGGGGCGGCCGCCGCTAGCGTAACCCCGCCCCGGGTGTGGCCACGCCCCCTCCCGGGCGCCACGGAGCGGCCCCGCCGACACGGGACCGCCCACGGGACCGCCTCGCCAGCAAGCCCCGCCTCCTCCGGGGCGCCCAAGGGCAGAGCCCGAGGGAAGAAGGGATTGGAAGGCGGGATCTCCAGGGATCGCTTTGGGGGCGTGTCCTTGAGCGGAGCGGGCGGCCCGAGTGTCTGGACCGCTCTCCGGATTCCGTGCAGACGGCCTACCGGGAAGGCTCCGTCTGTTTACCTTATCTCCCTTCCCCACAGTCTCCACAGAAAACCCGGCCAGGCGACCCACTGTACCTTTCTTTAATTCGCATTTCTCTGCTAACTCGGCAGCACTGTAGAGTTTCACCAAACGCACAGGCGCGTTTTTTTTTCTTTTTGGTATATTTGCTGGTCATGTGTATTTCTTTATTGGTGAATTGCCCCGTTACCCGCATTGTCTTAACCTTTCACCCCATAGTGATTTCTAAGTACTCCTCTTAAGTGTATCTTTGCCCTGGATACTGCACAAGGTCTTCTCAGGTTTTCATTTGCCCTTGTTCATGGCTGTTTTCCTTGCTGGTGGGCTTAAAAGCCCTTTCGTGGTTTCATCTTATCTTTATTCCAAACCAAATCCAACCCAAACTTGACCACGTTTTCAAGATGATTGAAATGATCAAGCTTCATTACAGTCATGACTTCTTAAAAGCTGTCTGCAAGAAGTAGCTTCACCATGACCTCATCCCTGTTTTCACAAGGAGGGCTGGCCTGAGTATTTAGGCTCTCTCAAAATGCCTGTTCACCACCGCGCTTGAAACGTGTGGTATCTCTATAACGGAGGAACTCAGCAGAGTTATATACCCTGGTTGAGCAATTGTCATACCTACATGGTCATGGGGAAAAAAAAATTTCTTTTTTTAAAAAGATTTATTTATTTATTTTAGAGAGAGACAGAGAGCATGAGCAGGGGAGGAGCAGAGGGAGAGGGAGAAGCAGACTCCCTGCTGAGGGGCTGGGTCCCTGAACCCTGAGATCATAATCTGAGCCAAAATCAAGAGTTGGATGCTTAACCGACTGAGCCACTCAGGTGTCCCAAAAAAGAGAATTTCATAAACATTATGTTATTGTGTGGCATCATGACTTTATCCACAATATAACCATGCATGTGTGTGAATGCATAAAAAATGCCAGGGCAGATATATCAAATTACTCAACATTGTTTACATCTGGTTAAGGCAGTAGGAAGGAAGATGCACTTTTTACTCTCTATATGTGTATTTCCATTTGTATATCTACATTTGTGTAATGCCATGAAAAAATTAATCATTTGAAAAAGAAGGGGCCACAGAAATACAGGCTTAAGCCACATAGAAACCCTTTGTTCCAGACTGGATCCAGCCTCATTCATTTGCATCGCTTGTTTCCTCTAATCATTTCTGAAACCCTTCCTTGGCCTCATCTCATTTATTTTTAACATTTTATTTTGAAATAATTATAGACTCACAGGAAATTGCAAAAATAGTACAAAAGAACCTTGTGCCTTCACCCAGCTTCCTCAGTGGTTACAATTTCTTTAGTTGCAGTATAATATCAAAACCAGGAAATTTACATTGGTACATTACTTTTAAGTAGACTATAGGCCTCATTCAGCTTTCACCATTTTCCTAACCTGCATTAATGTGTGTGTGTGTATCACTCTAGCCATTGCATCGCATGTCGGGATTCCTGTAATCACCACTACAATCAAGATACAAAAATATGCCTTTAGCACAAAAGAACTCCTTTGTGCTACCTCTTCATACTCACTCACCCACCTGTACATATTTTGTTAGAGTCATATCTATTTCATTTTATTTGGAGAGACTATAAGTGGTACTATGTGTTTAATTTTGGTTTCCACATGTTCATTGTTAGTATATAGAAATGCAATTGAATTTTTAGTTTTATTTTGAGATAATCATAGACTTACATGCGGTTGTAAAACAAAGTACAGAGAGATCCCATGTATTTTTACCTAGTTTCACACAGTCATAACATCTCTCAAAACTGGTACAGTATCAAAATCAGGATATTGACACATCTATCTCTCTTGTTCAGATTTCCCCCAATTTACTTGTTGGAGTGTGTGCATGTGGGTTTAGTTCTATGCACCTTTATCAGATCTGATAAAATCAGGATATTGACACATCTATCTCTCTTGTATCTCTCCACAGTGGAGATACAGTATATATATAACATATAGTTCATTTCTTCTTTTTAATAAAAAGCTATAGTTACAGGATTTATTTATTTATTTATTTATTTATTTATTTATTTATTTGAGAGGGAGGGAGAGAGAGAGAGCATGCACAGAGAGAGGGGCAGAGGGAGAGAATCTCAGGCAGACTCTCAGCTGAGTGCAAAGCCCCTCTGTGGGCTCCATCTCACAACCCATGAAATCGTGATCTGAGCCAAAACCAAGAGTCCGGTGCTCAACCAACTGAGCCACCCAGACGCCCCTATAGTTCTTTTTTTTTTTTTATTGCCAAGTAGTGTTCTTTGGTATGGTTACTCATAGTTTGTGTGTCATTCACCCATGAAGGCCATCGGGGTTGTTTCCAGTTTTTGCCATTAGGAATAAAGCTACCATGAGTATTTGTTTATAGGTTTGTGAACAAAATTTTTTATCTGGATAAATGCTCCAAAATTCAATTGCTGGGTTGTATGGTAGGGACATGTTTAGTTTTGTGACTCTGCCAAACTGTTTTTCCGGAGTGGCTGTAACATTTTACATTGCCATCAGCAATTTATGAATATATCCAGTTTCTCTGTATCCTCATCAGCACTGGGTGTTATCATTGTTTTTTTACTTTTGACATTCTGATGGAGCGATCTTTCATTGTGGCTTTAATCTGTATTTCCCTAATGGCTAATGATGGCAAAAATCTCTTCATGTGCTTATTTTCCATCTGTATTTCCTCTTCAGTGAGATGTCTTTTGTCATTTTCTAATTGAGCCATTTGTTTTTTATTATTAAGTTTTGTGAGTTCTTTATATATTCTACATATGAGTCCTTTGTCAAACACAAGGTTTGCAAATATTTTCCTCCCAGTCTGCAGGTTGTGTTTTCATTCTGCTTTCTTGGGGCTAAATTTTTAAATTTTGATGAGGTCCAATTGATTTATGCATTGTGGTTTGGGATCAGATGTAAGAACATTTTTTTACCAGGCTTTAGGTCCCAGTGATTTTCTCCTATGTTTTCTTTTTAAAATTTTAAAGTTTTATTTCACATTTAAATCTGTGGTCCATATGGAGTTAATTTTTTTAAGGATTTTATTTATTTATTTGACAGAGACAGCGAGAGGCAACACAAGCAGGGGGAGTGGGAGAGAGAGAAACAGGCCTCCCGCCCAGCAGGGACCCCGATTCGGGGCTCCATGTCATGATCCCGGGGTCCTGCCAAAGGCAGACGCTTAACCGACTGAGCCACCCAGGCGCCCCCATTTTGAGTTAATTTTTGTGTAAGGTTTGGAGGTTGAGGTCTAGGTTCGATATTAAACAAGAATGTCCAATTGCTAGAGCACAGTTTGTCAGGAAGACTATTCTTCCTTCATTGAATTTCTTTCCCGTCTTTGTCAAAAATCAGTTGAGCATATTTCCGTGGATTGCACCATACTCTGGTACACTGGCTTATGTGTCTACCCTTTCTTTAATACCATACTGTCTGGATTACTGTCGCTATCTAGTTTGTGTTACTATCAGGTAGAGTGATTCTTCCCACATTCTTTTTCTTTTTCAACATTTCTTTAACAATTCTAGGGCTTGTTTTTGTCCGTATACGTTTATGTGTTTAGAAAACCTAACCTATGCTAGAAATAGTGTTAAACTTACAGACCACTTACAGGGAGAATTGACATCATTTTTGTTTTGAGTCTTCCAATCCATGAACACAGTGTGTCTCTTTATTTATTTAGATCTTTGATTCCTTTCATCAAAATTTGTAGTTTTCTGCATTCGATCCTATACATGTTTAATAAATATATTCCTAAGTATTCCTTTTCTTTGAAGCAATTATAAATGATACTTTTTTAATTTCAGTTTCTACATGCTTATGGTTACTATGTAGAAATTTTGTAGAATTCATTAGAAGTGTGTTGTTTATTTTCCACATGTTTGCATATTTTCTGATTAATTTTCTGCTATTAATTTCTAGTTTGATCCCATTGTGATCAGAAATCGAGCTCTGTATGCTTTCAACTCTCTTAAATATTTTTAGATTTATTTTATGATTTTAAGAAGAGCATTACTCTGCCATGTCTCCAGAGGAAGCCAGTGTGGGTGATAAAAGAACTGGATCCATGTCTTGTGATGAACGATTGAAAGAAATGTTCATAGTCTGGAGAACAAAGACTTATAAAGGAGATGTGACAGCTCTTTTAAATACTTGAAATTTGGGGTTCCTGGGTGGCTCAGGAGGCTCAGAGGCTTCTGCCTCTTCCCCTGCTTCTTCTCTCTTTCTCTCTCAAATAAAATAAATAAAATCTTTTTTAAAAATCACAGATGTCAGGGACAGCCTGCTTCTCTCTCTCCTCCCTGTTTGTGCTCGCTCTTGCTATCTCTGTCTCTCTCTCTCAAATAACACTCAAAAAACCAATAATCAAGTCAAAAAGTGGGCAGAAGATATGAAAAGACACTTCTCTGAAGAAGACATACAAATGGCTAACAGACACATGAAAAAATGTTCATCATCATTAGCCATCAGGGAAATTCAAATCAA